AAATAATACCTATCAGCCTTACCTCTTAAAGATTAGGAGGAAAATTATTTCAAAACTATGTCGTTTCAATAAATTTTTATTGAAAAAGACTAAACTACCCTATTTTTAAAGCATTCATTAATAAAGTGATTTTTATCTTTTTCCTTCTTAATTTTTTAAAGATAAAGCGAATAAACACTAACCCCAATACCATTCTATCGTATTCCAAGCAATCTCAATATAATGGAGGCCCAATATTGGATATTTTGTATGGGTTGAGAGGATTATTTACACCGCCACAAGACTAACTCACAAAGTCTGGCCCATAAAGAATACCAGAGTTCAGCCATAATTTTACCCCCCAAAAAAATTCAGCCCAATGTTGTTGCAGGATGCAAGCTACTAAAAGCATCGCCGCCTGCTTCCTTTTCAGTCTGAATGTTCACTTCCCGCTCCCGTTCGCCGGCGTGCTACAATGAACAAATTCGTGCCCTTTAGCTAAACCGGAAAGAGAAGATCGGAAAAATGTCTCCGTCCTCTCTCTCAACACGTCTCACTCTTCTCGCCATCCTCTCCGCCACCTCTTTCTATTTCTTCTACAAATCCCGCCGCCTCAAACTCCTCAGACTTTCTGCGAATTCAGAGCCTAACCTTAGAAAAGGTAAACTCTTTTTCATATCCCAAACAGGTACTTCTAAATCCCTAGCCCACCGTCTCCACCACCTACTCTCCTCCAACAACCTCCCTTTTGACCTTGTCGACCCGCAAGATTACGAGCCCGAGGATCTGCCCAAAGAAAGCATAGTCCTGATCATTGCTTCCACGTGGGAAGATGGGAATCCTCCTCCAAAATCTAGATTCTTTGTTAATTGGCTTGCTGAGAGCAGCACTGATTTTCGCGCTGGGAGTTTGCTGCTTGCGAATTGTAAGTTTGCAGTTTTTGGGGTTGGGAGCAAGGTGTATGGGGAAACGTTTAATGCGGTGGGGAGAGATTTGGTGAAGAGGATGAAGGGATTGGGTGCGAGGGAGTTGGTGGGAGCTGCGGAGGGTGATGTGGGTGGGGGTGAATTGGAGACGCTTTTTGAGGAATGGAGTACAAAAGTAGTTGGGATTTTGAAGGGAGGATTGGTGGTGGAAAATAGGAATGGAGTTGTTGACAGTGATATTGAGAGTGTTGAAAGTGATGATGATAATGGTGGAGGAGAGGAGGAAATTGTTGATCTTGAGGACATAGCAGGTAAAGGGCCTTCAAGGAAGTCTGTGAATGTAGCTGAAAGTAATGGAAAGGTGGATGGCAAAAGGGAGATGGTGACTCCTGTAATCAGAGCCAGCTTGGAGAAGCAGGTAATCTAGTCTTTGTTGTCCTTTTTTTCCCTCCATCTTCTGGTTATTTGATGTAGGAAGATGCCAACTCATGTTCATTAAGTAGTACGTTGTTACTAAAGTAGTACGTTGTTACTAATATGTTGGAAATGATTGTTAAAATGTTGTCTTTCTCCCTCTTTGTATCAGAAGAACGAGCTTCTCCTATGCTTTTAGTCTTTTTTCTAGAATATTTGTCCTGCAGTATTTATCATTTAGTGATTTTGGAATTGCAGTTGTTGATACTTTAATTGGCACGCTTCTTTTGATGGGAATTTGCAGGGGTATAAAATTATTGGTTCACATAGCGGTGTTAAAATTTGTAGATGGACCAAATCACAGCTACGAGGCCGAGGAGGCTGCTATAAGCACTCGTTTTATGGAATAGAGAGCCATAGGTGATGTGACTTTCTTATGCTCTTCTAAAGCATTTTGTCGTCATTTATGTTTAATACCAAATATGATTGCTAAAGTTATTGCAAAATAATGTATAACTTGCTGATTCAATTTGAAATATCAAGTGTAACTTGAAGTTCTTAACTTGTAATAGGGAATCAAAGTACTCTTTTGCCATTGCAGTAAAACTTCAGATGGCTGTGGGAGTAACCTTGCTTGGGGTGAAATTTTTGTTGTATTATTAGGCTATTGAATTCTTTCTACCTGCTATTTGTTTATAGAAAATTCTTGTCAGAAGTAAAGTTTGAACTTAGATTTTTTTTTTCTGGTATTCATGGTGACTATGGTTCTACCATGTAGTTCATAGATGTGAATCATAAATTCTGATGTGCTTCACTTTTCATTAAGGACCTTTTTATATACTTTATGCTTTAGCTTCGTGATTTGATTTGGCTGCCTAGGCAAGCACTTGAATTGTTTGAACTTCTGAATGAAACAGATGCATGGAGGCAACACCTAGTTTGGCATGTGCTAACAAATGTGTTTTCTGCTGGAGGCATCACACAAATCCTGTTGGAAAGAGTTGGCAGTGGAAGATGGATGACCCATTAGAGATTGTGAACACTGCCATAGAGCTTCATACCAAGATGATTAAGCAAATGAAAGGAATACCTGGTATCTATCACATTTTAACACTTGTTGCACCTTTCAATTTAGTTCCACAGAGGGTGTCTGTATGCCTCATGTAGGATTCTTGCCTTTTTATATGTTAGTACAAAGATTTGGCTCCATTTGAATGCCTGGGAAAATATTCATTATTTCATTAGAACATGGGTATAGTGTTGCAATGCAGAGCTTTCTGCTGCATTAATGGAGAATATTAATCATTCTGATACTGCAGGTGTTACTCAGGAGCGACTAGCAGAAGGTCTCACTCCCAGACACTGTGCCTTGTCCCTTGTTGGTGAACCAATCATGTATCCAGAGATTAACATACTTGTGGATGAGCTGCATCAGAGAAGGATTTCGACATTTCTAGTTACAAATGCCCAGTTTCCTGAAAAGATTAAAACCTTGAATCCAGTAACCCAGGTTTGCTGCTCTTCATTCATTTTTTGTTATTTGTTAAGTAAACTAGATGCTAAATTACCTTTCACTCTTAATCATTGAAAGATGAACTCATAAATTTTTTTTTTCCCTTTTGACGCATACAGTTATATGTAAGTGTTGATGCTGCAACAAAGGATAGCTTAAAGGCAATAGATAGGCCTCTTTTTGGAGACTTCTGGGAGAGATTCATTGTAAGTACTTTATTGTTGGTCTATAAGAAAATTAAGCTAAAACTATAGGGAAGATAAACTCTTTCTTGTTTGGTTCATGTGATTATAGAGTTCTTTGGCATTTTTGAATTCTAAATTTTTTACCCTACTTTCCTTTGGCATTGGTAACTCATTTTTTTTCGTCTGCAAATTATTCAGGATTCTTTGACAGCTCTTAGGGAGAAACAACAGAGAACTGTTTATCGCTTGACCTTAGTGAAAGGGTGGAATACAGAAGACATAGATGCTTATTTTAAACTCTTTAGCATTGGCAAGCCTGATTTTGTGGAAATCAAAGGCGTTACATATTGTGGATCGTAAGTCTGTTTTTTTTTTTTTTTCCACTTTTGTCAAACTTCATTGCCAATAATGCTACACTTCCCTATTCACACTGATGTCTCACAGGTCTGCCACATCAAAGTTGACTATGGAGAACGTGCCCTGGCATTCTGATGTGAAGGCTTTCTCGGAATCATTGGCTGTGAAAAGTGAAGGAGAATACGAGGTTGCGTGCGAGCACATACACTCATGTTGCGTTCTCTTGGCCAAAACCAAAAAATTCAAGGTTGATGGCCAATGGTTTACATGGATAGACTACGATAAATTCCATGACCTGGTTAGTAGCATCATCATTTCATTATTACTAGGTAGTTCCCCTACCAAAATTTTCAATTTCATCTTGTTTCTTTCGAGGATGCAGGTTTCTTCTGGTAAGTCTTTCAGCAGCGAGGACTATATGGCACCCACACCATCCTGGGCTGTCTATGGAGCTGAGGAAGGTGGATTCGACCCAGATCAGTCACGTTACAGGAAGGAGAGACATCACAAATCAAGTCGTTGATTCATATATAGTTTTCTAAACATATTTTTGGGCAACAAGAATTAGTTTTGTTATTTTTGCATTACAGGACTAAAAAGGGTCAAAGTTCTGAATCAAATTATTGTTCTCCGCCCATGTATCTCAGTTGTATTCTGTTTCTCTATAACAGTTTGTTATCTAAGAACTGGGACACGGTTATTGCCGCACAGCAATATACAAGGCCACACAAATTTTTCAATACTGACTTCAAAAAAACATATACCCTATTAGGTTTAACTTTTAGCAGGGGTAATATTTTTATT